CCTTAAAATATTGTCATTCCTTAAAATATTGTCATTCCTAAAGCATAACCAATCTTTAATCATTTAAAATATTGTCATTTCTTTATAATATTGTCATTCCTTAAAATATTGTCATAACTTTCTTTTCTTTTTATGAGCTGTGTCCCTTCAGGACGTAGGCGATCATAAATCCCCACTTCCCCTTGTAGCTCTCAGTAAGTTTCTTCCCTCTATCATTTCCCCCAGACGATGTCCTGCCATCCATTCTCTTAAGCCCGCCAGGTATGTCAGGCGTTGCTTTCCCTTGTCTCTCTTTCCCTCTAATTAACTTGTGAGTATCAGATTCTCCAGGCCCTCCTTCCTCATTATATGTCCCGGGAACTTAAGCTGCCTCATCCTGATGTTAAGTATAAGCCTCTTCCTTGTTTGCATCCTCTCCAAGACCTCATCGTTACTCACACGCTCGGTCCATGATAACCTTAGCCTCCTTCTGTAGAACCACATCTCCGTCGCCTCGTGTCTCTTCTTCATCTTTGAGGAGACCGTCCAACATTCGCTGCCGTAAAGGAGAACAGAGGTCATGTAACATCTCAGTACTCTTTTTTTTTCTTTTTTTTTTTTTTTGTTACCAAAGAAATTGTCTTAGATGAAAAAGAACTTGGGGATACATCTAGCCAGATATTTAAACTTCTGCACCTGATCTGCATCATCATGTATAAGCAATGTCAATATTTTAAGGAAAAACAATATTTTAAATGTTTAATATATGACACCTGGTAAAATCAAGCGGGTTTTATACCATAAACATTTAAGATAGAGTTTTTTTTTCCTGTCATTGCTTATGATGATAATATCTTTATAGATAAAATACGGACGTCGATCTATGAGACAATGCCTAGTATGGTAGACTTACATGCAAATACGGCAGTTTTGAGTTCCATCCTCACTACCCGCTCCGTATCTCTGGTATTCTGTTCAAATAACTTCGGGTTTGTATGAACTCTCTAGCATTGTGTATAACTTGGGAGTTGGAATAATCCTTTATTTCAACTCTTTGTGCAGATTATTTAATATGAAACCTTTGCCTGATGTTTTTTCGCGATTTCTTCAATGTTTGGTCAAATATGCGATAAGCAGACCTTTCTTCAGTTGAGCGTAGTCTTTCTCACTTCTTATTTTTGATGTTATTTAGTGTCGAGAAGCCTAATTCAAATAAGTAAGAAGTAGAAAACTGCAATAAAACTGAGAAAGCCTTTTTAGCTAATCTGTGATATTCCTTTTACTATCGAAATCCAAAATGTATAAGTGGGTTCTGTCGAAGGTTTTATTTTCACTCTTTAAAAGTAACTCTCAAAGACTTGTATTAATCGATTATTTAATGCAGTGTTTCTCAACATTTTTAAGCAATGGTACACCTAGGAACAAATGAAAAAATCACAGCACACTTGGAAAAATTTTTTAAAGGGTATATATTTAATATATATATTGAAATAAAAAATACCCACACAAATATGAACTTACTTTATTTCAATGTTTCTATTCAACTATTTGTGCAGCTTATTTAATGTGAAACCTTTGCCTGGTGTTTTTTCGCGATTTCTTCAATGTTTGGTCAAATGTGCGATAAGCAGACCCCCATTTCTTCTTCAGTTGAACATAGTCTTTCTCGTTTCTCATTTTTGATGTTAAATAGGGTTAAGAAGCCTAATTCACATAAATAAAAATAGAAAACTGCAATAAAACTGATAAACCCCTTTTTAGCTAATGTGGTATATTTTATATTGAAATCCAAAATGTATCAATGGATACCGTCGAATGTTTTATTTTGAGCTCTCTATTACTAGAAATAATGGCCAATTCTTCTTCATATAACTGAAGTCCAATAATAGAAGGAACATTTATGAAGGAATTTCGAATCTAATCATAATTTCGCAGCTCACTTAAGAAGAGAGAATCGCCGTCTTTGGGCCTTCTACTGAATGACTATTTAGTAAGAAAACAAAAAGACACCATCTTTAGATAGATTACCAACCAATTCTGCTATATAAGCTTTAGGTGAGGACTTGTGGCTAAAAACGCTTGTATCGATCCATGGCACAAATTAATATAATCAATCACATATAATCAAGTGGTCACCTCATTCACAAATCGATCACAGTGAAATTCGAACACTAGTCTCATGATTGTAACTCTAACGCTCTGAATGTAACGTTATCCTTACTTACATTATTTACATTATCCGGACTGCTACCCTCATCTTCATTGCCATATTCACAACGTTCCGGCGGTTGTACACTCCGGCCTTCTTCAGCTGACTGGAATTTCGAACAGTCCGAATGATGTAAATAATGTAAGTAATCTTAATACCTCATCTCTGAGATATAGACAGGTATTCCAATCAGCTGAAGAAGGCCAGAGAATACAACGGATGAAGCGTTGTGAATATGGCAATGAAGATGAGGATAACAGTCAGAATAATGTAAATGATGTAAGTAATCATAATACCTCATCTCAAAGATATAGACAGATATTCCAATCAGCTGAAGAAGGCCAGAGCGTACAACGTCCGAAACGTTGTAAATATGGCAATAAAGATGAGGATAACAGTCCGAATAATGTAAATAATGTAAGTAATCATAATACCTCATCTCAGAGATATAGACAGAACGTTATCCTTGTAAAGAACAATAAAAGCACGTGACCTAATATATCATACGTAAAATTATTGTTTATTCACTTAAAGGCTTCGTCATTTAATATCGGCATGAAGATGTGTGTGTGTGTGTGTGTGTGTGTGTGTGTGTGTGTGTGTGTGTGTGTGTGTGTGGCTTTATGGAAATCTTTCGAGCAATGATATTCTTCTCGCGAGGATGAGTGGATCTGGCTTCCCTCTTAGGTGAGGAGCTTATAAAGGGTGTTTCACTAAAACGGATTATATACCAGGGTGTTTCATTAAGACGGATCAAAGTCAGCAGTAAATAAGTCAGTGTTATTGGTGAAAATTTCTTTATTTCTTTATTGGATCATGCTATTTAAGTTATGAAAATTTTGTGTGAAAAATAATATCGCCCAAATATCTGCCAAATCTGAAAGAAAAAAGAAAAACCCATCAGACGCTTAAACTTAATTCACATTAAAATCGGTCCAAATTATTAAAACACCTTTTATAACTTCCTGTCATCCGGATGTCCCGCGAGTGCGCAACTGGCTTGATCACCTCTTTGCACGTTTCAGCAACTGACATCCTTTGAGGCTCGATTATGCACCTGGTGGCTATGAGAAAACCTTCATGTTAACTTTCTAATGCATCTGGATCTTTTGATGTTTTGGTGTGACACTGATAGCAAAGCGTGATCCCAGTACATATTCGGGTCATCACAGATCAGCTCGTCTTAGAACAAAGATTGTTTATTGACACTAAATTCAGTGTAAACTTCTAGAATTTCTTGGCGGGAGTCACGCAGTACACATCTTCCTGGGTATGATGTCAAACTACATCCGGTAGCAAGGCCTATGATCGGGAGTTTGGAGGTTTTGAGAAGCATGGAACCATATTTTAATTGCTATTGTTTCCAGGTCACCCTTGGTTCGGAGTGGTAGCATCTATTAGGGTCCCAGCTCCAGGCAAATAGTGAACACCCTAACAAAAATCAACAATACATTGCTATAGCAGAATGACCACCAATAGATTTTATCGTAAAATAAACAACACATTTTTATATTAAAATAACAAACAATACATTTTTATATTAAAATGACCAACAGTACATTTTTATAGTTAAATGACCAACAATATATTTTATAGCAAAATGACCAACAATGCATTTTTATAGCAAAATGACCAACAATATATTTTTATAGCAAAATGACCAACATTACATTTTATAGTAAAATGACCAACAATATATTTTATAGCAAAATGACCAAGAATATGTTTTTATAGTTAAATGACCAATAATACATTTTTATAGCAAAATGACCAACAATATATTTTATTGCAAAATGACCAACAATACACTTTTATAGTAAAATGATCAACAGTATATTTCATAGCAAAATGACCAACAATACACTTTATAGAAAAATGACCAACAATACACTTTATAGCAAAATGACCAACAACATATTTTTCTAGCAAAACGACCAACAATACATTATTATTGCAAAATGACCAACAATACACTTTATAGCAAAATGACCAACAATATATTTTTCTAACAAAATGACCAACAATACTTTTTTATAGTAAATAAATATAGTAAATTTTCTTGTTCCTTAATATTAGGCTGTCGCACACGAAATGACGTACTTTATAGGAAATGAATAAAACGCTTTTGAAATGTTAATTAACTAATCTATTTAGTTGAAATAGGCACCATGTTGATGAATGAATGCTCTCCATTTACATTTAAATTCTTGATCCCATCTTTAAAACAATCCTCATGCTTTGATGTCATAAACAGTTCAAATGCTTTGATTAAATCTTCCTTATTGGAAAATGTTTAATTGCATATAAAAAGAAACAAAATGCTTAAATAAGTAATAATTACTAGGAGAGATATCAGGTGAATATGGAGGACGAGGCAAAATTTCATACTTTAGGCGATGCAGCTTTTGGATATTTGATTGAAAAAGCGTCTGGTCGTCCATTGTCGCCCAGCAAAATTGGGCCATCACTATTCACAACTCTAAGATGTTTCTTTTTCAATTTTGTCTGTGCATGCACTCAGTTTCTCCACAGTACGAGGTTGCTGTTATTGTTTTGCCTTGAGGCAAGAATGAATAATGAATAACCTCTTTTAAAAGACCACCATACAGTAACCATTAACTTCTTAGTTTGCAGTGAAGCTTTTGGGTATTGTTTTAGTGATTCACTTGCATTTAACCAATGGCTGACTCTCTTACTGTTGTCAGAGTATCCATTTCTCATTGCATATAATGTTTCGATGTAAAAATATTCATCTTTCCAGTCCGGAAAGAAACAGAGAGCACAACTCAAAGCGAGGCTTTTTTTGAGGGGGATGGGGGTGGTCTTTGAGTCTCATTCAGTTCATGCAGAAGAAACCTATCCAGTTTCTTCTTTTTTCTTTCCAATTGTTTCGAGTTCCAATGAAAGTTTTAGGACTGTATTCCTCAGATTCTGATCAACCAAATCAGCCAATTGATCAGGTCGGATAACCGATCGTGGGCTTCTTCTTGAATTATTTTCAAGAATAGAATCTCGAGAACTAAACTTCTACAACCATCTTTGTACAGCTCTGATTTCAACAATACCATTACCAAAGGCGACCTTGATATTCCGAAATGCTTCAAAAGCAGAATGTTCCAGTTTGTACTCATAAAGTAAGATTATTCGACATTGTTTTACTGTTATCAATTTCATTGGTTTTATGAGTAACAATATAGTGAAAGAAAAATTATCTGGAAACGAAAAGAGTCAGGAAGAAGTCAAGATTTATATATATATAAAGACATTTTATGTTTAACATTCTTTTTATAGATACAAATATTTAAGTAAATGCTCTGTTTATAATAAGCAGTATTAATTAAACAACATTTTCTCTTACGCCTGAATGTCCGAGCAATTTTCACAGAAAATAGTCGTCCTCTGACAGGATTTGAACCTGTATCCTATACGGAATCGTCATTTAGCTTAACGCGCCTTTACCGATTTGGCCACGAAGGAGCGTTCGGTTAGCAATGTCGAATTTACTGTATTCAATCTTCCATGAATCTCTCACGTACATTCATATCTGCTCATGGCGTATCAAATGTAAACAAATGACGTCACACATTATGAAATGGACAAAGTCCGACAATTATTTTAAGACATTTTTATATTTATACATCCTTTTTATAGATAGAAATATTTAAGTAAATGCTCTGTTAATAATAAGCAGTATTAAACAACATTTACCAGCCTAAATAATTGTCGAACTTTGTCCATTTCATAACACACACACACACACACACACATATATATATATATATATATATATATATATAATTATTTATTTTCAAAAAAGTTTATAGCATAAATATGTTATAAAATCACTACAAAAATAGCCATTTTGTTTCAACACCCCCGGTGTCTTATCAAGTGATGATGTTGAATGTAAAATAAATGGTTTTAAAAGTTTCAAATTAATTAACGATCCTTCGCAAGGGGAAAACGTTGTTCCAAAAGCTAGAATGACCAATCAAAATACAAGTATAGAAAAATTCAAAAAGCTTGATAACGAAGTCATGTTATAATAGCTATTCAGATCTTTAAAATACGGGTAATATTAAAAAAGATTTTATACTAACCACTAATTATTAAATTATATGATAAAATTTGATATTAAAATTAAAAACTGCCAATTTTAAAATCCAAATTTAATCGCTATTAAGTTTAAAACTATAAAATTACTGAGGAGAAAAGAAGAAATACATATGTTATTCAATTTATTTCTTCATTGAAATTACGTTAGAATAGACGCTAATATGTCATCCGGTCCTCTTACAATATATGTATACATTTTAATCCCAAGTGTGTGAATGGGGTCCTAAACTCACGCGTAAAACAACACAAACACAATCAGATTATAATACATAAGCACCCAGATATATTTATATATATAATACACACACAAACAGTGACGAGACACACACACACACACACACACACACACACACACACACACACACACACACACATACATACATACACACATATATATATATATATATATATATATATATAAATTCATGAATCATTCATACAAAAAAACAAATATAGAGGTGAATGATTTAAATGGCGAGAATACTTCGTCGCAAACAATATAAATAAGATACATCAACCCCGAACCTGTATATGAATGATATGATCCCTGTTTATAAATTCCAGTTGCATAAGGTCTTTTTAATTTTTTACAAGCTTTCGTCTGTTCCTACAGATTTCCTCAGGTATGGAAGTAGATTTTGTTCTTGTTTGTATCTCTCGGTAATAAGAGGACAACGAAAATAGAGATGTAATCCGAAAAAATGCTATGAGAAATGTGTTATTGTTTTGGAACGTGCGGTCGCAACGCTGAGTTTGAATTTAAATTTTAAGGTTCTGCGTTTTTGTACAAATATAGCAATAAGAGAATTCTTTTTTTACTGGTAGATTTTCCGTGAATATGGCATGAACTATATTGTTCAATAATTACAGTAATGTCACACTTATTATCTGAGAGTTGCACGTTGGATCAGTTATTTTAATTTCAATTAAAAGGTGGAAATATAATTTATAAATTCATGAATCATTCATACAAAAAAATAGTATACGTCATTTCATGTGTAACAACCTCATACTTTGTTTACTTTTTGAAAAGCACCTTCCGCTATTTTAATGTAGCTTCGGATTTCGGTGTCACATTTTTCGTTACGCTTTAACATAATTCCTCCATGTGTTTGATTTCTCCCATTCCTAATCCGCATCTTGAGCTGTTCCTTTTGCTAACAACCATATATAATTTATCTTCTTACAATTGACGTTTAATCCTTTCTTATCTCTTTCCTTTACTGTCTTCTGTAGAGGTTTCTGGTATTTCTTTTCTGTGCCTGCTAACAACAGTGTCATTTGCATATCTGTTATAGTGGAACACACCTATTCTTTAGTTAATAGACCCTCCCACCTATAATAAGTAGGAGTAGTAGGAGTCGCTCAGTGGGTTCGAGCAGTCAGTCGATGCGGGACGACCGTTAGTCGAATACTAAAGTATCAGCGACCACCACTAGATTTACTCTGCGTCATACCTATTATATCAAGTTATTAACGTTTTGTACGTCGAACCTATTTTAGGACCGACTAAGTACGAATACAAGCCTCCACTGTGAAATCACTCTGCAACAATATCGAATGTTGTTAAGATTGTGGCCGGCAACAATAAATCCCACTAGGATTTCTAATTTTCTATGAATCTAAATTTACTACGTGTAAGTGTGGAATTGGGATATTTTTGGAACCAGTCTTCCAAATGGGGAAAACTGATATAAAAATCGTTATGATGAATTACTTGCATTTACTGAGATTAGAACACCGAACTCTAGCACCGGCGATAAATGCAAAATAATCTCAATGTTGAGTTTCTACACTACAGTGACAAGGAGGGAGTGCGCCTTCTGAAGATTGCACTGTGACAATCTTAGATGTGGAAATGACATCCATACATCATAATTAAAAGGATATTCTAGGTTTTCTGTAGGTCCCAACACCAAATACTGGCGGTGGCGGGAATTATGCTAGCAAAGAATCAGACCCACTATTAAAAAGATTGTCGAAGATGACGGTTTTGTTTGATTATCAGAGCTCTTCAGGTAAAATGATTCTTGTGAACTTAATGAAATATGTAGTTTTTATATATCACAACACTAATGGGTATGTCCCTATCCTCATAAATACGTTGGACACTATTGTAAGTGGGGTGGTCGCTGATATGCTGTCTAAGTAGTGCATCACTAGCAGTGGTTTACCTACTTCACGCCGCTGGCGAGTATTGTATTTTGTTGATGTTATAAAGATTACCATTTCATTTCCAACATCCGTTTTGGTTATTCTTCATTCAGTAACCTTTTCTAGGTTACTATACATAGCATAACCAAATTCCCCATCTTTGCTATATTTTATCCCAAATAACTCTGTTCTAAATAAAACCTAGGTTGAATCAAAACTAATAACAAGTTTTTTTTAAAAAAAAAACTGTTCTTTCAAAACCATGTCCAATCAGAACAGAGGTGATCAAGATCCTCCATTCCTTCTTTCTCTTTAATATCTGTAAATTATGAATGACTATTCTTGAGTAAGGTAGTGAAGTGGTTTCCTTTCCCCGTCTTATGTTTTGAGTTCAGAAATGAAGCGGAAAGACTATATCGAATCCATTGCTAGGTTAGCTGCTCAGAAAGTTGGTTCATTGTGTTATACTAGACAATTTTTATCTCCAGAATCTCTTACATATAAGTTTACTATTAGCCTATGCTTAGAATGTTGTTGCAACTGCTATTTATCTATAGTTCTAAGAAGCCATGAAAATCTTCCATAATTATGAGAGGATCCTATTAAAAATAAGTAGACAAAACTTGTCTAAATTATTTAAAGAGACATATCTTATATATATATATATATATGTGTGTGTGTGTGTGTGTGTGTGTGTGTGTGTGTGTGTGTGTGTGTGTGGAGTGTTCTGCCTGTTGTTGAAAGGGAAAGATACTGTTATATACTGTACCTATGAACACCAATGGCTATGTCCTAATCCTCATAAATATGTTGGACACTATTGTAAGTGGGGTTAATATGCTGTCTAATTAGTTCGCCACAACCAGTAGTTTACCTATTTGACGCCGCTGGCGAGTATTGTATTTTGTTGATTTTATAAAGATTAGCATTTCATAGTTCGTATTTACCAAGCTTAGCTTCGTATGGCACAAGGGCAAAAGTATGGAGTATTTCGTTAGGATCGAACACACTACTCAGTATTTATAGTCAAACAAATTAGTTCGCTGTTCATTACTACATACCAAAACCTTCACTCTTTACCAAGCTTAGCTTCGTATGACACAAGGCTAGAAGTATGGCGCACCCCGTAAGGATCGAACTCACTACTCAGTATTCATAGACAGCCAGATTAATTCGCTGTTCATTACTACACACAAAAAGCCTTCCCTATTTACCAAGCTTACCTTAGTATGGCACAAGGGCATAAGTATGGAGCACAAGTTAGAAATGAATTCACTCCTTCTTCTATGTCCTTCAGGACATTGTTGATCCTGGCTCTCCACAATTTTTTGTCCTTTGTGGCTCTTGATAAATTTTGCCATTTTTTTTTTATCTCCCCGGAACCTTGTTCCACCATCCATTTACTCAAGCTCGCTAGGCAGGTTATGCGTTGCAGAATATTAAGGAAATCAGCTAAAGAAATTAAAACGAACCCACTACCACCTTTAGGTATACATCACAAAGAGAAACGGGGTAAGTTGATCGATGAAGTTATGAAGCATTGTAATTTTTAGTGGTGAATGCAGAACTATATGAACATGATAACTGGGGCGAGATGTTGGCTCCTATATGGAAAGATTTATTCACAACTCTTGGACAAGATCTTTTCTAAGTCGTCTTCTTCTTCTTCTTCTTCTTCTTCTTCTTCTTCCCCCTCCTTTTTCATCCTTTTCTTCTTCTGCTTCTTCTTCTTCCACCTCCTCCTCCTCCTCCTTCTTCTTCTTCTTCTTCCCCCCCTCCTTCTTCTTCTTCTTTTTCTCCCTCCTTCTTCTTCTTCTTCTTCTTCTTCTTCTTTTTCTTTAAGCCGTTTCCCTTCAGTACACTGTCGATCAAGGCTCTCCCCAATTTCCTGTCCTTTTTTAGCTCTTCCTCTACCAATTATACCAACAGAGAGAGGTGTGTGTGTGATTAACTCGTTCCAAATCAACTTGGGAGGATATGTGACTCGTAATTCCAGCCCTACGTGAAAGTGTAGCTTTTCAGTTGGTTGTCGTAAGTGACAAACGTTAAGTTTCAGCGACTTTTCAATGCGACTGCTACAACGACGATGATATTTCTTGAAGTCCTTATCTCTCACTCGCCACCGGACCGACTCACTGCAACGACAGTCTCTCTCTCTCTCTCTCTCTCTCTCTCTCTCTCAACGTCACTCTCGTCTAACGCCCAAGTCTCCCCAACTCAGCAAAACTCGCGTTTATATAGCAAACCGAAGGTTATAAGCCAGGTTGTTCACGCGCTTAACACGAATGTCGCCATAAGCAAAGTTTAAATTCAGATCTATTTCAAATCTCTTAGGGGATAAAATTAATTAGTTCAATGTTCATTTCAATTGTCTTTTCGATGACCAAATTCAGTGGATACAACTTATGTTTAGATCAGATTTCACTAGCGGTAAACATACACTGATCTTACCTCCCCGGTCCAATTTAATTCAATATGTTTTTATCAAAAATATTATTTTCGTCTATTTTTTTTTTAGTGACCCAAATTAAACATCGCCTCCTCCCCATTTGCATTTGTTTATAAACAAGTCCTCGCCAACCCGATGTGAAATTTATTCTTTATCCATCAGCCGTCTCAGGTTTCATATATCATTGTTCTAGATTCTTTCCTATTAACAGCTCTGACACAGTTTGTAACTTTCACGGAAGATCGTGCTTTCCATCTTCAATCAATAAACGTTATATCTGCGTGTGTGCATTCATGGGCGTCAACCTCTCTCTGTTACAGTTGGGACCCTTCCAGGTGCTACCACCCCGGGTCAGGGTGAACCAGCAAATGGGGACACCAGCAAATAAGAGGCGGTTCCACGCCTCTTAAAATCTCCTGAACTGAGGCCTTGCTGTTGGACATAGTTTATCGTCTTACCCAGCAAGCGGATGTAGTTTATCAGTGTTCTTTTTGTTTAAGTTTCTAATTATCAGTTATGAAACTTTTGGGCCCTGATCGAAAATATGATAGTGAATTCTTCTCTTATTATCAACTCGAGAAATTTAAGGTTAGAATTAATTTGAATTGTACTCAAAAGTAAAACGCGCGCATTACGAAGAGCTTTATCTAAGTAAAACATTTTTTTTACTAAAATGATCAGAGGAAAATGTCATGAAGCCATTTGTCTACAACAGAAATCAAAAGAAATAATAATAATGTTTACAATTGTATTTTCGTTGATCTCACTGAACACTAGTGATGATTAACCAGACAAGCTTGCTGACCATTATTCTATGCCAAAATATAAACCATTTTCTAAGCTTAGCAATTAAGCAATTAAGAGGTGGTTCCACGCTTCTCAAAATCTCCTGATCAGAGGCCGTGCTGTTGGACATAGTTTATCGTCTTACCCATGTAGTTTATCAGTCTTCTTTTTTGGCACAAGCTATAAGTATATAGTTGTAATGGTCGTCCGGAATATTTCGCAAGCCATAATCTTTTGTCAAGATACAACTCTTGCTTACTTGGCTAAGTTTAGTTCGGTACAAGGTCACTATTATAAGGCTCAAGCAGAGAATCGAATTCACTAATAATGGCCAAGAAGACGAGGATGTTGATCATGATGCCAGAAGGTGCCCAGCTTTTCCAATATTTTTCTACTATTTTTCCAGTTCTATCTAGACGGAAAAATCAGTGAAAGAGAAGATGGAGAAGGAGGATTAAAAAAAAAGAGAGAGAGAGAAAGGTCCTAAATATACGCTTTCCACCCGGTCCGAGGATGTACCCTGACGGGAGGGTATCTACAATGCACTTTAGGAGAGCAAGCAGAATAAACAAAAAAATAAATAAAATTTATATTAATAAATTCGTTACGCATATGATTATGCTTCTTTTACTTTCTTTTTTTTTTTTTAAATCTCTACTCAATTCTCACTGAACTTCCCTCCTGCAACTACCGGCACCACCACCACTCCAAACAAAACATTTTTTTCGGGTCAGTTTCTTGAAGATTTGATGCGAAAGCCTGAAGCGAGTTCCACGTGCGAAAGAGGGTACTGCTTGCTTGGCAAATTGTGCTACAGTCAAGATAAGATGGCTATCTATCTCTCCCTCTCTCTCTCTCTCTCTATATATATATATATATATATATATATATATATATATATATATAAAGAGAAACAGATAGATAGAGACTGGGGCGTTGCAAGGGACACTTAGTGTACGCGAAGCGATTGTGCTGTGTTATGTTCAGACTTTTTCACTTACACCAGACACTACCGACAAAAGCAAAACCACATGTATTCCTTTTGAGGGCGTGCGCCTGCGATTCTAATTTAGTTCGGCCATTTTGAAAAGTTTTGTCTGCTTCTGTTCAAAGTACGTTGTGCGCATGTGCGGATGTCTCTACTGCACGAAAGGAGAATGACATTCGAATCAATGCGCGCGTTAAAAGAACTAAAATATGAAGAAAATGGTCAAGTGATCAAACTTGTTTTTGCGTGTATCCGAACATTAAAGCAAATAGTTTGAAACAAATAACTTCAGCTTGAAGAGGCAAAATGTTTTACTTATATATCAGTTGTGTACAGAAGTTAATTATGTTTTTTATTATAAAAATCGGTTAATGTGTGCTGAGGACTTTATTACAACAGAGCAAATACCGTTGTATTATACAGTGGCCGAAGAAAAGTTTTATCCGAGAGAAATAGACTACATTCAATTTCAAAATTTAATTACGCAATCCCAACTCAACATAAATAAACAGTACTTGGAACTAGTATGGAGTAGGTCCTCCATTTCAGTGATTGTATTCGATTTTTCATTTATTTGATCAAATTATCAACAATCGTCTAATCCATATTTTGCCCTATTCTTTAAGACTTGCCACTGACGTGACTTTGGTTGCACACTCTCAAAGTTTTTGGTCAAGGGGATACCAAACATGCTCTATTGAATTCATGTCAGGATTTTGGGCTACCCATGGCAGTGACGTGATTCCTTGCGATTCCTTTCAGGCCTTTGCTAGTTTGCTCGGATGACATGGCGCTCCATCTTCTTGAAAAAGGTAGACATTCTTGTCAATCTGATTGGTTTCAAATAATGGGAGTAGTCCTTTCTCTAATATTTGAGAGTATTTTGGACCATTCAACCACTCGTCAACAAGAATCAGCTCAGATTTCTCTCCAAATCAGATAGCGCCCCACACTGTTAGTCCAATCCCTCCATGTTTCGCGGTCACCTGCAGACATTCAGTATTCCAAGTCTCATTCTGATTTCTCCAAACATAAACCAACCTCGAATACGAATATTGGCAGAATTTACTTTCATCTGAACAAATTGAAGACTGTCAAAATTCATAATATTTTCTCTCGAATTCTCTCACCCAGTCCATGCACCTGTTTCTGTTAATCTCTGAAATCAAGGGCTTCTTTCTTGAAACTCTTCTTTGATAGCCTAGTTCTTTCAGAGTTTTTCTCACTGCATACGGCGAAATGTTCATGCTGTTGGCGGCATCTTTGACGCTCTGACGACGGTTTCTGATGACTTCTTTCTTCAGCGCCTTTTTCGTTCGCTCAGACACAATGCTTGATCTTCCTGAACGTTGTTCCACACGACAATGGCCTGCTTCATTAAATCTCTTTACAACATTATTAATCGTTTGATGATTAACTTGGAAAAACCTAACAATTTTTCTATTTGATTTGCCACACTGATGCCATCCTATTATTTGCCTCCATTGAAATTCACCAATTTCCTTACTTCCACGAACATTCATTGATCAGAGTAGCTTGATACTAACACTGTATTGTCTGAAAAAAAAAGAAGAGAGGTTATTAAACAAGCCAAAAATGTTGCCCAAAAATCTGCCCTAACTGGCAGCATTTAAGCTAGCTCCTGCGGAGGATTTTTTTAATCAACATCAAACGTTGAAAGAGGAAAAGAATTCAAAAGATGATTATAAAAAATAAATAAAAAATAATGATTTCAGTTTTTTTTTTTTTAAATATTATGGTTTTAAAATCTTACATCATTAAATTTAATACAGGGCAGACAGAAGAAAAACATATATCCTTCCTAGCTAGCTCGATATCAATCGTTTTAGGGACACCCATTTTAGGCAAGCATTATTAATATTTTCAATTTTCTCCTTTTCCATCATAAATATTTCCACATTATTTTTCTAAATTTTATGCATGTATGTTCAAAAATCATTTTATATTAAACATTTGTTGAAAAGGATACGTACAGAGGGCGATGGGTAAAAATTGTTGCCATTTTATATTTTTAATTTCGCGCATGCGCGTTGTTTGTTTTTCATTTTCTCGACTGCACATTAGAATAGCGTCAGTTGGGCACTGTATGTGAGAAAAAAGCTTACAATGACGTAATTCACTCCACCAGAAATCTGGAAACGACATAATATATTGGTTGGCATTCGCACCGGAAGCTGCAATATGAACATTTCAGTGAGTTTGGGTGTCAACCTGAGGACAGTGCAAGCGATTGGGAAAGAGTTGGTTGAGTCTAATGCTGATTAAGAAGGTACGGCAACTCAAAAACTCACTCCGATTGTTCTGATAAGAAAAGAACTACCGAATTTGTTGATGAGGGACTCAGACTCAACTCGGAAGCCTACATAAAGTGCCTTCAGAAAGTAGTGTTGTCCTGGGTCATGAGGGTGGCTGCTGGAAGACCCTATGTGTGGCAACAGGACTCACTATGCCACACAGGCAGGAGAAGCCAGTTATGGCTATCAGACAATTTCTGCGACCTCATCACCCCTTATATATAACTACCTAACTCCCCAGACTGCACCCCCCTTGATTATTATGTGTGGGGCGCAGTTGAGCGAGAGACCAACAAAACTCCTTGTAACACTAAAGATGAACTGATGGCAAGGATTATAGCAGCATCCACCAACTTAAACAAGGAGACCGTACAGAAGTGTTACAGGAGATTCCGAAGACGTCTGGAGGCCGTGGTGGTTTTGTTGAATACATTTACTCTTGATTATTTTAAGATATTTTTATGTAATTTTGGTGAATATATCTGTTAAAATGAGATGCCAGTGTTATGTTCGTTTTTGCGGCATTTAGACGACAATTTATCCATCGCACCCTGTATAAGGAAAAACATTGAATTTTAAATGCAGTTGCAATTTGGCTAATTATAGAGTAGTCTCCCTTTCTTTATTTTCATGTCATTGCAATATA